ACTGGCGAAATAGGTGATCAGCTCCTCGGCGAAATTGCCTAGTTCGTCAAAAGAACACTTACTACGTACGTCAGAAGTGTGAGTTCTTCAGTCGCTGACTGGGTTTCTTTGGTTTAGTGGTCCAATTTTCTTTTTATTCCCTTTATATAACCTATTAATATATCATCCGGTTCTTCGGTCTTTGTAGCCCAAAATTCTTCACCAGAGGGTAGATGACATGGTGAAAAACCAGTTTCAATGTTTTTCCTGTGGATTGAAACGAATGATGACTTTGTAATGAGAGAGTCCAAGTCGTAAGCGAAACCACCGACACCACCTCCTGAAGTTGGTAATCGCAGCCTTACTGGCTGATTATTTCTAGGTTCTTCACTGATCTCCACGCAACCGTAGCAGTTCAAGAGTATGTATTTCAGCGTACTTCACCCTATCATGCGATTCCTCTTTTATTCCTTGCTTGGTATCTGTGACGGGGACACTCCGGATGGATTATGGAGCGCACAGAAATGGAAACAGGAGATGAATGAGAAAAGGAAAAAAGCAAAGAAGCTTGTTACCAGTGCATAATTGTGTGTTTCCGTAGAATATAATTCAAAATTCATGAACAGAATCCCTCAGTGAAACTTTGTGACTGGCAACTTCACACAGTGCAGCTTTTCTGTTCCGCCCTGTTTCTTAGTGTCTCGAACAGAGAAAGTATTGTCATTCTCTGACAATAAATTTCTGTTCGCACCGGAAAGGCGTTGACTTTAATTCTGGTATGCGAAACGCATGACGATGGCACGATTTTTATTGAGCTTCATGTGCAAAGGATGATTTTCATCGATCACTAGCTAGGTACTGAGTCGCAGCGTTGCACAGCCTATAGAAAATAATACTACCCTGTTAATAATATTTGATATTTGAAAAATTTTTGCTGAGGCTTAGCAGAGCTCAGAGCACAGTATAAAAGCATTCCTCTATAGACCCACAACCTATATCACTAGGCTAGCGTAAGAGCATAAAATTGTTAAACTTATTGCGCATAAGATCATTTTATAAACGTGGTGCGACAGTGGCTAATATCAGACGTGCACTAAAATGCGTGGTATGCTAACTGGTGCCGTTTTGTTATTGTTTGTTGAGATCATCACTCTTGAGCCGCCTATATAAGCAGAACGTCTCTGGTTTCTGATATCTGCTGTATTCTCAGCTTTTCAGAACTTTTGTCATAAAGCATTTAGCTCTCTGTACATCTACCTCTTCCTTGTTCCTCCATATTGCTGCCGGCCTCTTGGTCTTCGCCTGCCCTTTTTTTGGCTCCCATATGAGAACTAGACTCTCGTGATAACATTGCCATATCTAAGAAAATTATCTAACAAGGAAGGAGCTTCAAACTGACCTGGTATGCAACATTCCTCGACTTTTAAGCAGCTTTCGACTCGATATACCGTCAGTTCTTGTTGCCCATACTACGACGCTATGGAGTACCGCAGAAGATTACAAGTCTGCTAAAAGGTCTGCAGGAGGTACTAAAGGAGCCACCAAAGCATAAGAGTTTTC